TTGTTGGTTAGAGTGATGAAATACAGTTGTGTTGAACTACTGGGGACTTTGTGTATTGATAGGTTTGTTTCTGGGCTCAATTTTTTACATTAATGTCACAAAACTGAATAACATGTTGTACTACGCCTTTCACACTTACCACCACTTTGTTACACCACAAAACCATCAGTTCCATTAACTCATTTATAGTCATATTTAACATTTTGAGAACTTTATTTTTCTAAAACAAGAAAAATATCTGAAAATTAGGGAACTAAACTAAATCTTTTCTTTTTAGTTGACAGTATCAGTAAACAGGACAGAAAGATGCAATTTGGTGCTGTTGTACAAAAATATTTAGACTTGATTTATGTTATGCTGTTATTTGTATTCTTACTGGGGGATTAATTTGATTATTTTAGACAACATGAATATGGGGAATTTGGGAATATGGATAAATTACTGAATTACTGATTAAGAATGGCAAGAGTGGCAGGGAGTGGCAAGAGCCAACAGAATGTTTCTTGACTATTTAAGGCTGAATGGCTTTCCAGCCTCCTTCCCTCCCTCTGCAGCCAGCCCTCCTCCATTCACCCTTCTTATTAAGTTTATTAAAGCCAGTCCACATACTGGGTTTCCCAGGTCCAGATCCTTTTCCCATTCATTACAGTACCTTATCCTGGCAGGCAATCTGAAGTGTGCTCTGAATAGTCCATTATGCACATATGAAGGCCATCATGGCCCCAGTATTGGTCAATTCATCAAACATTTATCTGTTGCCCTCTGAACAGGACGTCAGCATGCCTGTCACTCTGCAGCTCTGGCCCTCCGTTTAGAATAACAGCTCATTGCCTTTCTGCACCATTGCAACCTCTGAGAGGACATCAGTCCTAACTGTGGATTGCAGCTGCGAGGGCTCTCCAGCTTTTCAAAGTGTGTGTGTGTGTGTGTGTGTGTGTCTGTGTGTGAGATAGATGATTGTGTGATAGATTGTGTGTGTGATGTGATAGTAGTAGTGTGTGTGTGTTCTTTATTAAGCATTAGTCTCAGGAAGTTTTCTAGTTTTGCAGTGGTAGCTGCAGGGATGTTGCCTCTGTGATCTCTATCACCATTTCAGCAACAGAGAAGGCTTTGAGGTTGTTTTACATTGTAGCTCTGTCATTTACAGCTGAGACAAACTCCACATTTGACCCATCGTCTTGAGAGTTTCTAAAAACTATGAGTCATTTAGGCAACAGTTTCGAAAGCAGCAGACATAAGAGGGGAGCCTGTGTAACACGTGTAAAGGATCCAAGGCTGTCGTTTCCATTTGTTGCCTGAGGATATCTGACATGACACTAGTGCACACCATTGGAAGGAGTGACTGACATTTCAGCCAGTAATGGTCGAGAGTTTTCTTCCCTCTGTTGTCAGCAGTGGTTTATCAATCACTATGTCTGCATTAGTATTAGTGTATTGATTTGGCAGCGCTGCTCTCTGGGTCAGTGTCTCCTCTCCAGTGTCCTTGTCTGGTTTCTCACATCCTCCCCTGCGTCCTGTGTTCCTGCTCCAGCTAAATATTAGTGCATGTACTCTGTGCATTCAGTAGACAGGATCTTAGCAGATAATGGCGGTTTCAGCACATACATGCACTTCTTATGTAAGCTCAGAAGCACACACACTGATGCACATGGGGCTGCATGATGTATGATGGTAAGCTTACACAGGCTAAGTGGTAGTCAAAGTGTAAAGACAGCCCGTGTGAAGTATTAGCTCTGACAATGAGGCTGATCATAATTATCTTAACAAGGAGGATTCATCGCCTTACCTCGTTAAAGCCATCGCCTCTCTCCATCTCTGTCTCTCTCTCTCTTGCTAGTTAAAGGTTTAAGCAGATGCCATTTGATCACGTTACCATAGAAATCACATTTTTCTGAATATGTAGAAGGAAGTGATGCAATGTGATGTGACAGTAAAATATTTTCTGTATCCTTTTTAATAAAAGGTCAGGTTTTAATAAAAGCTTATTCCAAAACAGATTCTACTTGATATACATGAAGTGACATTTCCGTTTCATCTGTGGAAATCTCATTAGCAGATGTATGAAACATAGCAAAGTGGTAATATTAATAGCAGTAAATCTGTGAAATTACAACATTTGCCAATGCAGTTTAGAGTTATCACAATCATCACATTTTCGAAAGAGGGGAATTACATAAAATAGTGATAACATTAGAAAAACAGTTATTTACATATATTTACTGTAAAATTTGTGTGTATTGTCTGTGTTTTACCAAATGTCTATAGCATTGGGACTCAAGTCAATTATGCTCATTAGTTTTGTTGAAAGCAAAAACTGCTCTTTTTTTTTTTTTTTTTTTTCTTTTAAGAAGTGAAGTACTTTTACTGCAGTGCTTAAACTTTGTTAGTTTTCCAAGCTGCACATTAAAACAAGAAAGCTTATAAAAAGTAATGAAACCAGCTATGGAAATCTGCAGAGGGAGCAGAGAAAGCTGGAGAGTATTAGAAGTTCAATCCCTGCACTGTAGTTAATGCTGGATGGGACTCAGTGGCTCTCCCCTGGCTGTGAATTTAACTGATTAAATCAGCCAGTGCACGCAGCAGTGGTGACATGAAAACAACAATTAATAAGGCTCCCTCCTGCGCCATGCGGCTCCCTTTAACCGAGCAGCTAATAACATCACCCACAGGACTGCATCACACACACACACACACGCACACACACACGCACTTACAGGTGGAAATAGTTAGTTAGCAAACCTCTGTTAACAGCAAACAAGATAATGTTAAGCCAATGTGGTACACCATTATTCCTAACTACACACAAGCAAAGCTTAAACCTGCAGATTAATTGCATGTTGTAGTAAATTTCATGTGAGCACAAACACTGTGCTGAAAAATATAAGTTGTATTTCTCATTTACCAATAGTCCAATCACACCTATGTTTCAATACTTGGATTTTCATAAGTTGTTATTTGGACTTTTTTTCTTTTTTGAAATCCAATACTTAATTTACCATATACATGACAAGAAAAGTAAAAAAGAATATCTGGAATGTATAATTTGCACCAGCTCTTACAGTGTTATATATACTGTATCATAATGGGCCCTCTTGCTTTCACAAATGTGAAGCACCATGTCGGAAAAAAACAAGCAAACAGAGTAGGATTTCATAAAACTGGCACATCTCTCTATTCATCCATCTTGCCAGTGCATTAATCAGACCTGATAAGAGGTTGTCAGCTAGCGGCTTTGCCAGCACACTGGCTAGGTGCTGTCAGCTGTTGTTGTGGGTATCAAGTGTGTGTGTTTGCAAAATGTTGATGTCTTTTGAAATAAGGCAGCTCGGTCCGCCTCACTCGCAAGTCAACAATGAATTGCTGATTTGTCATTTTCCACCCGAGGAGACAAGTTGCAACATTTTGCTTTGTAGTTCAAAGTTGCTGCCAGTGTCTCCGCTGCGTGCATCTGTGTGAGTTTCTGGATCAAGGAATATGTCTAGGTGGAGTCCAAGCCGATGGCTCATGAAAAGCACATGAGACACAGAAGAGATAAAGCAAGAAAACAGTGGGTCTAGCTCACTAAAAGTGTTAAATAAAAGTACATGCATGGCTACTCAGTGACCAATTAGTTGGACATGTTAACATCTTGATGGCTCCAAGTGTATTTTGGCGCACTACCTCATATTCCAAGTACTCAGCATCTTTTTTAACATTTCCTTTTCCTTGCTTTGCCAAAGTGTGGTTTCTTTTCCGCAATGAATGCTGGTATATGTTTTACACTGCCCTCACACTGTATACTGCTTGTAGCTATCCTTTTGCAGATTGTCATGATAAAGGTATTATATTTACATAGCTCTAAGTTGGTGTGTATCATGGCAGCCATTGACACAAGGCAGATCCAGTGGAGGAGCAATAGTTCATGCTGCAGCTGTTTAGACCTCACTGTACCTTGAGTTTGTCATGTTGCAATGTGACACTGCTCACTGGAGTTTATATTTACGTAACTTAATGTCAAGGTTATCCGTCTGCTTTTTAAAACTAGAAACACACTATAGTTTTAATGTAGAATTTTGAAAAAAACAGTTTGGAGTGAATAATTAATAAAGTGAAATATATGTCATAATTAAAATTACTGTATTAAATGAAAAAATAACCTGTTCTCTGAGAAGCAGTTCTTAAGAGGTGCACTGTCTGGGTCAAAGTCTGGCAGATGTAAATGCCAATGAAGTCACCCAGGACACTTTACCATGGCATGCTGACAGTGTGAAGGATTAGACAACACACACATTGCCTTTATGCACCTTCTATGACTTGAACTTTGCAGGGCCCCAACATTACTCCTAACACCGCCCTCCATCATTTTTATGCCTGTGTGAGTGTGCATGTGTGTGTGAGAGAGAGGCAGAAAGGGAAAGAGTTGAGATGACCCTTCACCTCTTTTTGCAATGTGTCATAAAACGGAGCGGAAAGGCAGAATTCCTTCTTTAAAAAGAAAGAGAAAAAAAGTCCTTTGATGTTAAAATCCCAACACTAACCCCTATTGCAGCACAGTTACAAAAAAAAAAGTTTCCCTTCCATTCCATCTGTGATTGTGAGTGTATTCCGGTTCCTCTGTGAAAATGATGGATGACAAGTTAAATTTGTGTCTGGGGAGTGAAGGTGAACTGTGACAGAGTGATTTGTCTTGGGAATGGAGGGTTAGGGTCAGGCGAAACTGGGCGCCTCAAGGCACAAGACATTGACAAATTCATCCTGCCCGCCGCATTTCTGAAGCCTTTTGTTTTGAATCCTGGCTACTCACAAGTGACCCCCATCCCTCATCCTGCCATCCGCTGAAGGATGCCTCACCATGCCAGGGGAGCTCAGCACCACTAATTCTTGTCATTCACTTCCCTGACAGGCCCAGACCCATACTCTCCCGGCATATGAAAGAGGGAGGCTGAAATATTTATTTCTGCACAATAACGTCTGGCCAGATTTAGAGCCATAACAGTTTTCCTGTTACTTTATCATTGCAGGTCACTGGCAGGCATCAAAACGTTCACTGAGCTGGAAGAGCTGGTCGTTGACAACAATCTGCTTGGAAATGACCTCCAGTTGCCCAGGTTACCCAACCTCCACACCCTGACACTCAATAAGAACCAAATATCCTTTCAAACAAATCACTCAGCCTCTCTTTGTCTTTGATTTGCAGTCTACTATGCAGATATAGATTACAGGCATCAGTCTCAGAATCAAGTTTATTTTGCTTACATTGCGATGTTAATACAACCTGCTTTTGTCTCAAACAACCAGTTTTCAATGTCATGGCTTTGGAGGGAGCATTGTGTGTTGCAACAGAGTGCAGAAGAAACTTGGCTGTCACAGAGCTCAACACAGGACTAGTTTTTGAACCACAGGGACCTCTAGTGGATTCAGATTTTAGAGTCAACACAACAGATGTGTTTTTATTTTCAAAGAGGATAGATTGTATTGGATTAAAATTGCATCCCTAGAATAAAAAAAAATATATAATTAGATGTATGTGCTCTTTGGTAATATCAGTTATTTTAAATTATAGGAATTATAGATTTAAGATTTTTCACATTTGTATCAGATGCTACTTCTTTACATCGCTGAAATAAATTGAACTGGTTATTTAATTTGTCACTGAACAAACTAGAATATGCACACATTGTGGCACATTGGTTATAATGGCCTGGTGAATTCTGCTTGCCACCCAGCGTAAACATGTTGAAACCAGAGCTCTGCGCAGCCACCCTAAATTCAAGACACTGGCACATTGCGAGGCTGTTTATGATCAGTCAAAAATGTGTGAACTTCCCCTCTAAGCTTCAGAACAGGTTTAGCAATGTGTCCTGTTTTCCTCTGGTTATGCAGATCCTACTGGGTAACGATGCTCACTCTCTCTCACACATTCGCACACACACACACACACACACACAAACACACACACACACACACACACACAGACACACACTTCCAGAGTCAACATTAAAACTGGGGCTCCTTGAAGTGTGCGTCTGGGACTGTGTGCCGAGTTTGGTTGTGAAGTGGTCGGCACATGCTAATAGGCCAATTATGTACATCCTGTCGTGGCACAGTGCCATTTTAAAGCTCGAGCACTGCATTAGTGCAGTTGTATTTTGACACTTTGGGGCTCAATTTTCCAAGTGAATGTATTAGTGATGAATGTGCCTGCTTAGGGGCTGTTTGTTTTTTCCACGTTTCGCAAAAGTTTTCCACAGCACGGCTCTGGGAAGCACGGACTGTTTGAACCACAGGGCATCCATCATTTTGTCACTGTTCTGCACCCGGCCACCTAGGAAATGAAAGAGATCGAGAGAAAGAGAGAGAGAGAGCAGCAGCCAAATTGTGTCACTGCTATATGCCAAATCCTGCACCTTAAATTGCCCCTCTGTCTGCCCAGTCTCACAAAGCCAGTGACTAGCCCCTTTGAGCACCTCTGTAAATTTGACAGTGACGTGTTTTAGTGCAGACAGGCCTGGGAGGGGCTGTGTGGGTAGTAAATGCTAATGTAATTAACAGCACTAGGTCCTTGACATCCGCCCTTTGACACCTGACTGATATCGAGGCCCTGTTGGAACACTTGGCTGATGTGACCCCGTCACTGGAGTACCTAAGCCTGCTGGGAAATGAGGCCTGCCCCAACCAGCTGGTCAGCCCGGATAAGGATGAGGACGACTACCAGAGATACAGGTCAGTTATTACATAGATGAACTGTGATGATGTCACACATAAATAAGGAAAGGATATTACTCTGAACTGGATGGGTGGATGGATAGATAATTTTCTGGGCGTGTTTACTTTTTCCGTCAGACAGTTTTGCCACTATTCAGAGTGATAGTTGTTGTAAGTAATGGATTTGTAGATGTTCCATTTTTTTTTTAACATCCAGACTCCTGTATTTCACAAGCAGACTGTAGATTCAACCACATCACTCTAAAAGCTTTGTCAACTGGCCCCTCTACACTCCGGTTTGCAAAATGGATTTCATGTGTGACTAGTCACCACCACGAATGAGTGTTTACTACCCTGCCTTACCAGAGCAGATGATGCATTAAACATCAAGCTAGGCCTTAAGCCATGCAATATGACCACCATTTGTCAGGGTCCTTTACATGAAATGCGATAAAAGGCGAAAAGCATACTCTCTTTTGTCTGCTTTAGCCCTAAGTGCTTGTTTCTGACTCAGTGTTGCCTATTAATCATTTACCAACCTTGCCTTTCTTGAATAATCTTTATTCTCTCTTTTTGTCCCCCCCCCCCCCCCCCACCCTCTCTCATCACTTTCCCTCCCTTTCTTCCCTTCTCCCCCTTTTCCCTCTCGTCGCATGCTTATCTTACTGGTGAGGAGAGCTGTTCTGTTTTGACTGACAACGTCTACGGTCCTGTAATGTAATATTCATAATGTGTCACATAGTAAAACATCAATTTGAGCGTGATGCAGATTTCATGTCTGACAAGGTTAGGCTGTATGCAGGTCGTGACAGCACTGGCCTTGGGCAATAAATACCCAGCCCAGTGCCTCGGGAGCTCTTGGTCTCTTAAGTGAAATACCCTGGTGCGTTGCATCGGTGCCCCAATTAGTGCAATGACATAGAAACATAGTATTCATTCACACAGTATTGTGTAGTCTGCGGGGAGGTTAAATGTTGTCCTGTTCTTAGCCGGCCATGCATACGCTCTGTGGCCATTTGTGGTATTACAATAACAATAGTTTAAAGCTTTGATATTATACTGTATGTTCACAGTGGGTTTTGATTATGCAGCGTTGTGCTTATAGGACACTGTCTCACCAAAAAACTCAGTCCTTTCTCTCTGCCTCTGTGACGTATAAAGATGAACATATTTTCATGTGACATTTTAACTTCTTATCTTTGGGAAAGTTATCAGTTTGTCTGATCTCCTTTTGTGGCAGATCAGAGGTCTGGTGCCTGAGGTGCCTCATCCATCAGCTGTACTTCGTGTTCACTCAACCTTTTTTTTTCTACATGTCATAAATGGAGCTGCATAATATTTACCCTTAATATCTATAAATATAATTTTTTTAAAAAGTTTATGTTGTCTTCCATAGCTGTTACACTAAGTATAATGATTGATAGCACTATATTTCATGTTATTATATTTAGTATTAATTAAAACAAAAATGGAAATGATGTTCAACTGATATACTTTCACATAGTTACAGTTAACTATTAGTGTAACCTTCTTTTATCAGTGTAGTCTCTTTTTACTCAGTGCAAAGCAGGTCAGCTGAACAAAAATGTAAAATTTTGAGAATTCACAGGCAACATATATGACAAGTCAAAATATTTGGAGAAATTAATATTTAATAGGTTTGATTGATTTCTGTCATTTTTTTCAGTCATACAAATTTCTCTGAACATAAACAGTCTCTTGTATACTTTATACCAAACTGTAAAGCTATTGTATACCTTCTTTGTTATGGCAAAACTCAAATAAATTATAAGGTATGCCTTATGTAGATTGCCTCTACGCTCCCTGTAATAAATACTAGATTATATAGACATTAGACATACACTCTCCCAAAAAAAAAAAAAAAAAAAAAAAATTCCAGGGAAAGTTTTACGATATTAAAGGAGCCATGAAGTAAAACTTTGCCTGGTTTTCTGTTTATTTATTTTTTTCTTTAAATTAAGATAATCTAGTTTTTATAAAAGTTTTACTTTTACTGCAACAACCACTTCCAAGGGCAAAAAAAATCATATTGATGTCAACACATGTTTAGTATTGCTTAAAAAAAAGAAAAAAAAAAAGGCTACGAGTCTTTCATTTCCCCAGTCATCTCCTCTACCCCCCCTACCCCCCTGCACTCTCTTATCCTCCCTCTGTGGTTGGGTTGAATCATTAATATCCCTACTGGCTGACAGAGCCTTGTCATCTGCTCTGACCCTGTGATGGTGGGTTACCTATGGAGAATAACCTCTCTGCATGTCTCCCAAGGGCATCTTCACATTTCATCATGGAAATGCCCTGAACAAAGTCCTTTTACAAGGAGGCAGACGCAGGATGCGAATGGTGCCTCTTGTATTTGAGTGCTGGTGCTCTTGTCGGAAAGGGAGCTCTTATTTGAGGCTAGGAGTCATTTTACCATACAATAATGTTCCTATAACAAGTCATTTAGGCCCATTTGATATATCTAGTGTTCTAATCATTTGTTTTCTTTCTGCTGTTAAACACTCTTCTTGTTTTATGCTTTTTTCAAATTATATCAGATGTTTTTCTCCCATAATTTTCCACAGAGATATTTCCTGTTCCATGTCAGTCTAAACGTGATCCCTGCATCCCCTCCTTATAATCCTCAGGTGTTGAAAACTTGACACGGGCTTTGCCATCTCCCCTCATCGCCATCGCCATCATCAATTTGTCACGGCTCTTTGCGCACAGGTCTTGTCTGTGCCCATATCCCCCATCCTTTCTCACCCTCCACTTAGGTGCTGCATGCATGTCCTTTTTGGCTACCAGCTCAGCCCTGACATACCGGTTCCTCTATCCCTGCCTGCCTGTGAAAGGATCTGTTGTCATCTATGTATTCCAACCATTATCTTGTGACATTTCTCTCCCTCCCAATGAAAGACAGAGTGTGTCTGAAAGCTTAGAGAGATATCTGTGATGCTGCCAGAATGACAGCTCTGGCAGACGGGTTGTATCTCCTTTCTTGCTATTTATATGTCGTACTTATTCTTATCAGCTTTGAAGTTATTACATACAAGAAAATATCACCATTAAATCTGCATCACCATTAAATCTCTCTAAACACAGATTCTTTTCAAGTTTTGTTGACGCGTGCATTTACATATTAGAATTGGTGTCAGTTTGATTAGTGTGTCACCGTTTACACATTTCCTTAGATTCTCTGTTTGTCTCTTTGTCAAGAAAGTGGCCTACAAGCGGACCTTTTAAGGCAGCAGTGTGGTACAGTTTAAGCTGAATTGTTGCTTTCTTGCAGGTACTTTGTTCTGCACAAGTTGCCCCAGCTGAAGTTCCTGGACACCAGGAAAGTTACCAAGAAAGAAGTGATGGAGGCACAGGCAAGAGGAGCATTCATGAAAGTGGTCAAACCCAAGTCAGACGCTGTAAGTTATGCTTTTTTTTGTTGTTGTTTTTTTTTTTTTTGGTGCCGTTTTAAGCTGTAGTCCCTCTGAAAATCTTGAGTGGATTTGTCACATTCATCCCTTTCTTCCCTTTTCTATTCTTTTCCTTTATCCTGCCTTTCTTCCTGTGCATGCTTGACTGTCAGTCTCCCTTTACAGAGGTCCTACTACCGTGGCCCTTTGAAAAGAGTCTCTCTTTACTATCGCTTACTATCATGTACGTGTGTGTTGCATGTGAGAGCGTGTGTGTGTAAATGTGTGTGACCACGGCCTGACCTGATTCCGTATGCATGAGCCCAGATCAAAGACGACGGGCGGCTGTCCGGTCGTGGTTGTGTTGCCAAGTGTGACATGGCTGCCGATTGGAGTGACAGCTCACGTACATGCCGCTCACAATCGCTTAATTATCCTGCGCCCATGCACTTATTTCTCCCTCTCTTGTTTTGGGTCACACAGACTAATTAGAGTTCGCAAGGTTCATAGATATACCCACTTCACCCTTTTTTCCCCCCTTTTTTTTTTTTTAATACCACTTTGATAATGCAATATAAATGAACAGCTTTAGCCTAGGTTTGATTTCATGTAATTGTAAGGTCATGAAATATTTACCGTTTGGATTAGCTAAGCTTTTTCATTTCAAGGTCTCTGGGGCTTTGACAGTGAGCCACGGAGGTAAAAACGGATCCAGAGTAGCAAGAGCGAAGGCATCCAGTGACAAATCAGAAGCATGTGAGTCGATGTCGGGTTTAAAAGTGCACACGCAAAACAAAATATTTATTGTTTGAGACAATCAGCTAAGATAGTGTACTCTTTTAGTGTCAGTTCATGCTATGCTTTGTTCTTGATTCTTCATGCAAGTGGCAAGCGAGAAAGCAAAACATTGAAATAATTTAACCTCAGTCTGGCATGTTTGGTAGATGGAGAAAAGTGGAATGAAAACACTGTTCATCCACTTTATATAAAAAGAGACTAAGGACCTCTACAATGCTTTTTGGCAGGGTAAAGTCACTTTATAAGATTTTATTTACATAGCTTGTCAGCGAAAAAGAAATGTTTGCCTGTGTCGCCACAGCCTTAGATGAAAGGAGAGATAATCACTGATTCTAGCTGACATGATGTGTGTGTTTTTTGTGTCTTTGTGTCTTTGAACCTGCTGTATATGATTATTTATTCCCTATGCAAAGTAAAAGGTTACAGCTTTGATGAAAACGCGTCTGCCTCCCATTGCACACAGTATTTTGTGTGCGCCCCAACATACTTGTGCTGTCCTATCCACAGTTCCTTATTAGCGGTGTTTGAGTGAGTCTACACAGTGAAGGGGATTTTTTGCCCGGACGTATCTCGTATCTGGGCCCCTGCGATGTCACAGCACAGCAGCATTTCCGTAACATTTGTTTTGAGTTAGATGAGACGTGATGTGTCAACTATCACGGACTTGATGAGCCATGAGTACCTCCCGGCTCTAATTGTCCACATCATCGGAGTGATTGTAAGCTGACCAATAGTGCGGGCCACCAATTAGCGAAACGTCTGCGACAGAACAGGAACGCAAGGAGAGATGATAGCATAATTAGATATTTGTGTTTGCTATTATGTCTGGTACAGCAGGGTGTTGCTCATAACAGTGGCTCATGGTACAGTGTCTGCCATTTGCTTCATTACAAAGGATGGTAATTAGCTGTCTCGCTGTCGCTTCTGCTACCATTTGAGTCTCAATTAGTGCACATTGGGGGTGGGGGGAATACAGGACCACAGACGTGATTTAAAAGATTTATTTAGGAAATTATTTGACTTTGGGGTGTATCCTCTAAAGTTTTTTTGCTCTGCATACGGTTCTTTTTCCTCCAAGACCTTAAATGACAAATCTCCCTCCTACTGTTTACAGTAGATAAATTGAAACCATAGTAACAGCAGTAGGGTTACAGTGATACATGCCCACTCATGACAGCATAAATCTGAAGAAAAAGCCCCTCTATCAGATCATTCCCACTGCATGATGTATGTATTGGAACAGTTAATGGGTGCACTATGAAAGAGACAGTGCTGAACTTTCGAGACCCCTCTTGAGTCATATCTGAGTGGATTGTGACCACAGTTTAAACTCCTTTTCAATCATGCCATTATGGCATGGCACTGAGCGACGCCACATGGTTCTGATAAAGCAGTTATGGTCTTTAGCACAATCTGAACACCATAACTTTTCATACATTCCCAATGTTTTCCATGTTCCCTAAATCACAACCAGACAGTCAACGGCCGGTTGTTTGCAGGAAAAGGCGCAAGCACACACACACACACACACACACACACACACACACACACACACACACACACACACACACACACACACACACACACACACACACACACACACACACACACACACACACACACACACACACACACACACACACACAAACCTCTGCGATGAGGTCTGCGAGTGCAAAATTGACAAAAAAGTTGTAGCAACATTCACTGCAATGAGAAAGAACTGTGCTCAAATGAAATAGCCATGTTCAGATAGTGAGGATAGTTTTGTCGCCTCTTTAATTGTTACTGTTTGTCTTTATGCCCTAGTGGGCGACAATGAGCCGTCACTGACTTGTCTGAATGTTTTGGTGTTTCCTTCAAGGAGGGTGGGGGGGGTGGGGGGTTGTAATTTTCTCTTTTAGGTTTTTGTTATATTGCATTTCTGAGTGGAAAGGACAAGTAGTTGGACAGAAGCAGAGGCAAAATGACAAAGACAAGAGAGAGATGGAGAAAAAAATAAATTTATAAATACCTGAAGTAAACAAAAAAACACAGAGGGTACGATTGAAGTGTTTTCCCAAAACCACAACACTAAGCAGAGTCAGAGTGGAAAAGCCTTGAGCTGTATTTTGGGAAATTGGGCGTGTTGGAATGCTATAATGTGATAATTCTCTTTGAGGACTTAGAGGTCATGGAATGAAATGGCGTTAAACCACGTAGAGCCATTTGGACTGTGTTGGGCTGCTTTCGGAAAATACATGTGGTACGTTTTGGCTTGGTTCCTCCGGCTCCCTCCACTCCGCCACGGAGCCCATATTATGCTGTCGAACCCTTGGGTTAAACTGGCCATGTCTATCAAAACACTGTGACAGCACATTCTGTTTTCAGATCCCGAGCACCGCTAAAAAAAGTGCGTAGCAAATTTAACTAGTAGAATAACATTTACTCCTTGCCACATGTTTAAGAGTATTTCACAGTGAATGAAGTAAGTCTATGGTCCCCCTCACTAAGCACAGCTTGGTAGCTACGTCAGCGGGTATAAATGTTCCTCGGATGTCACTTAGATTTTGCCTGAACGAAGTATTTGACTTGATTTTCTAGCATGAACACAAGTTTTTTTTCCCACATCCTTCTGCGTATAATGTAAAGCAGACTGCATTGCAGGGTGGCTTGAGCCAACTCCCGGGTCCCATGAGTCTCTGCACACAGGGTAACGGTTCTTCAAGGGAATTGACAGTGACAGAGCCAGGAAAGTCCTCAAGTGGATCTTTTCAGTTCTGTTTTTTCTTCCCCAGACACTAACCTGTTTTACTCTGCAGCAGACAGCGGTTCATTTTAAGTTTGCACTGAAGGGAGCAGTCCAAATCTAAGATAGACTGCATGGTTTTAGACCCATGATTGTGCATTATGTGATGCATGATTGTGGCTTTTTCTTTCTTTTTTTTTTTTTTTTTGCAATATAACTCTGGAAAAAGAGAAGGCATTCTGCTATAGGTTGGTTGTTTTGCTTCCTTTTCAAGTCTCAAATGTGCTCTGTAAAGTATGTTGCCACGTTCATCTCTGTGCTTGAGAGTTATGAGTTCCCCGAAGCTCTCAAACATAACAAACAGCATGCAATATAGCGCTTTGTGAATGTGCCTTCAGTGGGTTAGCTGAATCATTTTACAGAACAAATGTGTCCTCAGAGAAAACTCAAAGAATATGGTTCTCAACAGGGGAAGGAAATATAACCCAACAGATTGCTGTGGTAGCAAGTTTATTACCACTCTTTCCGTCTCTGCTAGATTCTGTATTTGTACCAGCTATTATGCATACAGAACCCTGATTTGTCACCTCTCTTTCATGACACTTTCCCAAATCAATATGTATACAATAGGTCGACTAAGGACAGCGCTGCGGATTGAGGAGGAGTTGTGGGCAAAATGTAACCACACTGAACGCCTGTCTGCTTTATGTTCAGACAGATACACTCACGGACAGATTGGGATGTGCTTGCTTTCATATTATGTTCTTTCCCTCGTATTGCATAACATCTTGTTATCTGTTAATTGCATCACTTGAGACACTGCTGTTCTCTGTCTTTAAATGACAACATATCCTAAATGTTAAAACAGCTGTTTATAATTGTTCGGACGTGTTTAGTTTGTGTGATAGACGAAATACACAGATATTTCCAGGGAGCCACATGTTCCTTCTCTCAGGTATGTGTATTTGTGTGTCAGTATCTGTGAGTGGTGTACGCCTCCACGTGTGTATGTCTCTGTAAATGACTGCTGAAGTATGAGCCTGTCCAGTGTTTGGACCAGTGCGACAGGCCCAGTTCAGCACGCTCTGGCAGCTTAAACTAAGAGGTCACACAGGGGTTATAAGCCGGGAAAACAACACCAATTAGAGGGAATGACTCACACTGTCCACATAAATCATCCAGGCCCTGCATATCATAAACACACTGTAAAACTTTAAAGCACAATTAATTGTAAGTAATAGTGCCAAGATTGATTTATTGCCTCTTTCAAAGCCTGGAGACATGGGGTGCGTGACCTCAGTGTCACGTCACTCTCGCAAGCGAAAATGATAGATGTATTATTCATTTTTGGCCAAACGCAGAGCATAAAAAACAAACATGTGTTTTTGTAAGGGCTTTTATGAGACGCTGAAGTGGCCGTGCTGCATTAACTGATTTTCCTCTCCTTCTGCTGGCATCCAGTACAGAGAAGGAGTGCCTCTGTGGT